CTCTCTCTCTCTCTCTCTCTCTCTCTCTTTATGATTTTTGTGAAAATATTAAATTCACTGTGTTAAAATTAATTGCACTAGTTTTTATTAATAATTTAAAAGCCATTAAGAAGCAGTCATATAAAAAATGTCACAGGGTTATTTTTAAAACTAAAAACTTCCTCAAATGAGAGAGAAGACAGAATTTCATGAATATAATCCTTTTGTGAGTGGCCCATACTTCTCTACATGCATGCTTTGATGACCTGACCTCTAGTGTGACTGAAACTTTTGTGTTACTGTGTAAAAATTAATAAATGTTCATTTTGTGTATAACAAATTATAATGAGTATTAACATTATTATTATATTAGACTACTACAGTACACAACATGATATGACACTTGACTGTGTAGTGTTAGTGTCTTTATTATCCTGTCTTCTTTTTATAGTATGGACGGACTCCTCTCATGTTCGCAGCTAGAAATGGTCATACACAGGTAGTGACAATGCTCCTTCAAAAAGGAGCTGATGTCACTGCCTCTGATAATGTAAGTATAATCATTAATTATACTCCAATAGTAAATTGTACATGTATATCCTTTTGAGTGGGTGGATCAAAGTAACCTCAGGTGCTGTATATCTCATACATTGTGTGTACATGTACATGTATAGCTTAATGTACTCTACTGTATCACTTTATGAAAAGCATTTTTATTAAAATAATTATTTTATGTCATGAATTTTTGAATTCAGTATAGCAAAAAACTCTTGTGGCCTGAAATTTTTGAAAAATTGAAATATTGAAGCTTATTTTTGAGTCACGCATTTCAAAAGTTTTGAGACTCATGAATAAATCACTTTCTACTTTACGTGTTACATGTATAATAGTATAATAATGTCAGATAGACTTACAAGAGGCCAGTGGGCATTGAAATATTCTTTTGTATGGAGGACATACTTAGAATGTAGTTATACTGTGCATGAATATATAATGTGATCCACCCACTCAAATTGATGTAATTATATCACTTACCTACTGGGGCAGTATCTGATTTACAGACACCTCCCACTAGGACACTATGGTCCCTTGTGTTCAGTGTCTGTATTGACATCAACGTAAATTAGTATTACCTACATTGCAAGCATCAAAATTTAAGCACCTTGAAAATTTTTTCCTAGTCATGAAGGTGTCTCAATCTACATGTATAGTAACTGAGTTTATGGCTATAACCAAGAACATTTTATTGATACTGCAACAGTGTAAATATACATGTACATGTACATGTAGACTAGTAGTATTGTACATGTAATTATTTACATCAGTAAAATGTATACTTGTACACTAAATGTACCTCCACTGTCTCTAACATACTCAATATTATGGAGTATTGAAGA